TCTGAAGTCCTCTTCTGGACTCTGTGGACACCAGGCATGAACATACTATAAAGACATACATGCAGACAATATATTTATACACATAAAAATTTAAAAAGGAATGCAAAAGTTATTGAGAAAGGACAAGTCTACATCCATACCACCCTGAACACACCCGATCTCGGAAGCTAAGCAGGGTCGGGCCTGGTTAGCAATTGGATGGGAGAAAGGAAAAGAACCCCACTTATTGACATCCTCAGAACAAATGGCTAACTGTGGTGTCTATTTGCACACCAAAGCACAAGCTGGCCTACGGGAATACTCAGGACCTGTGGCTCTTCTCACCCCACCACCCTGTCCATCTCCAGCTCATGGGCTTCTCCTCCCCCAGCCTCTGATCATTTCAGCCATGTGCTCTCCCGGCCCCTCCCAATCTCCTTTGCCCACACTCTCTCTTCCTTCCTCTCTTGCTCTCCCCCAACCTCCTCTCAGGGCCCAGTCTAGTCTGCTGGCCATGTTCAGTGTCCTACGCTGGCTGCACTCACCCTCACATCTCCAATAAAACCCCCAGCCATATCTTGGAGCAGTCATGCCCTGACTTTACACACTGAGAATTCAAGCCTTTGAGTTAGCTTCTTGGTGAGCCAAATAGGGAAAGCAAGACCACCACCCCTAGATTGCAGTGAGAGATCTATTCCTTGAAGAAACCTAGGACCAAAACTCATGAAAGCAGAACAAAAGCCAATGTTGGCTAGTTTGCACACAGGGAAATAGGCTCTCAGGAGACTGAAAACTCCAAGTCACCATCAGCATTTACATTTCGGTGGTGGTTTGAATACGAATAGCTCTCAGAGGCTCATATATTTGGATGTCTGGTCATTAGGGAGTGGCACTACTTGACATGGATTAGGAGGTGTGGCCTTGTTGGAGGAAGTGCAGCCTTGTTGAAGGAAGTGTATCACTGAAGTTGGGCTTTGGGGTTTCAAATGCTCAAGCCAAGCCCAGTGTCTCTTCCTACTGCCTGCTGAGATGCAGAACTCTCAGATCCTCTCCAGCACCATGTCTGTCTGTGTGTTGCATGCTTCTGCCATGATGATAATGGACTAAATTACACCTCTGACAGTAAAAGCCAGCTCCAATTAAATGCTTTCTAAGAGCTGCCATGACTAAGACAGTCTCTCATCCCCAGTGTCAAAACAGAGCTCTTCCTGTGACACGAAGGTACTCACACTTCCAAACCCAGAAGGCTCACTTTTCTGCTAGGCTAGCATTGGTTCAGATAGTGGGAATGACTTGTGAGCCACTTCTACACAAGGCAGGTGCCCGTCAATCATGACCCCTGGCTACTAGCCATAGGAACTGCCAATACCTAGCGAATGAAACATTCCTCCAACTTCCTGGACAGCGAAACCCACCTTATTTGGTCTAGACTCGCTGAAAGAACTTACATCACATTGAAAGCTAAGTTCTTGCTTTTAGTAGTCCCTGGTTAATCTGAATTCTCGATTAAATAGAGCCTAGCAACCTGTTTTGAAAACAATTTCACATTAAGATATTCATGTGAGTGAATGAATGAATGAATGAATGCATGAATGAACAAATAAATGGACAAACGTTTCCAATATGCAGTCACTCACTGCTTGATGACTGGGTCATGCTATGACAAATGTGCCATTAGACGATCTTATCACTAAGGGAAAATCATAGAACGTGCTTTTTACACAGACTAAAATGGTTGCAATGCCACTGGATAATACAAACTTATAGAACCACCACTGAGTACTCAGTCAGTCACTGGCCAAATGTCATTATGGGGCATGGGCATATGTTTAAAAACAATACAAAGCTGACTAAAAAGGAAACTTCTTTTGTCTAAAACAACTCAGTGAGAATGGATGAGCAAAATTAGGACCCTGAAGAAAGCAAATATTCTATATCACACACAAAAAGGATGACCCTATGTTCACATAAACCTGCCTAATTTTATGCAGGGAACATCTAATGCACTGGGTAAAACAAATCAGGATTTTCTGCTTGTTCTCTGTTAACCAGAGTTCGTGAACCATCACAGATCCACTTGGGTACCCTGATGTCATGGGGCCACCACTTGGCAGAGATCTACCTGCTTGTCTGTCCTGATGGTCTGCTCAAAGCACATTCTTCGTGGTGTCAGGGTAACACCACCAAAGGGGGCATGAAGCTGAAAAATAGGAGTCCATTTACTGTCAGGCTCAAATGACTCTCAGATTAGTGATCATGCCATGGGTTTTTGGGGCCTCTGAAAGCTCTTATTCACCTGATGAAAGATCTGCCTGGGACTTTAACAGTTACCCTCCTTTGCTGGGACAGTGAGCAAATATGAATCTCCTGGGCAGATGGTTCAGAGTTTCTTTGACTTGACTAAGTGAGGATGCTAAGGGACATAGCCTATACTCCTGTCAGAAAGTGTCGGAGGCCCAGTGGCATTGGGATGACTGGGGATTAGGTGATAACAGAGGTAGGGTGACATTTTAATACTGGGCAAAATAAATTCTCTCTACTGCCTAGGCATGTTGAAAGAATAATCTGCAATGCTTTAATTAATTGACTCAACACAAATGTTGCTTGCTCATCTCTGGGGTACCTGCAACGGGACTGTTGCAGATGAGATTGTCCATGCACAGCTCCCTCCATGCTGTGGGAAGACGGGGGGGGGGGCAAAAATCAAAGTGGCCTTTAGAGCACCCATGGGACAGCCAGCTCACTGCAACTGGCTCAGAGATGTGCCAGTGCTGTGGGTTTGCTGCCCTAGGGAAGAAAAGGGGTGTCCAGAGAGTGGGAAGCTTGAGAAGAAAATGAGAACGAGTGACCACACCCAAAGGAAGCCACCAGCTGTGATAAGTCTGCAGAGTGCACACCACAGGGCAGGAGTGATCTCATACAGAGCCACCAGTCTTAAAAGATTCAGAATGGACCCCATTTCCATGCTTGAGTTATCTGTCAAAGGAATACACCAAGAAGACAAAGGACTTGGAGACAGATCTGACTGGACAGGAAGCCATGACCTTCCGCAGCCCAACAGTGACACGAGATATACAAAGCAACCAGTCCTGTAGCCCCATGACATGCTCTTCAGAATGAGGCAGCCTTCTGGGCCCTGGAGGCTGGTCTGGGTCTCCCAGGGTAGACACCTGCTCTCACCCTTAAAGCATGCTGTGGCCAGGCCCTAGGATTCACCTGCCCTCCGGAGGGCTCTGAGTGGTTCGAAGACACAGACAGGCAAGCTCATGCATGGGTTAGTATCACAGGCGGCAGGACCATCACCACAGACAGAATACCTGGGAATAACCTACTTTGAGGACTCAAATGCAGATAGGTCTTCTGCCTTGGGCTTGAGGCTAAACCAGCAAAATAAAATGAAAGAACAAAGACATACCCTGTGAAATTAAAATGCCACATGTGCCATTTGCAAAGTGCTCAGAAATCAAGACAAGTGACTTCATGTACTTTCACGGCTTGGACACTGGCCCCTCTGGTTTTCAGCACTCCAGGCTTTTATGGCTGAGAGTCCAGGTCACCACAGAGCAGCAGCACAGGCTACTGTGCCCAGATGACAAGGAGGCAGGATGAGGGGTCTGAAGCTGCTCCCTCAGGGCTGCTTTGGATTAAGGATAGAGGCCTCCATATATTGTTTTATTTTGTTTTTGTTTTTCAAGACAGGGTTTCTCTGTGTAGCTTTAGAGCCTGTCCTGGAACTCCCTTTGTAGACCAGGCTGGCCTTGAACTCACAGAGATCAGGCTGTCTCTGCCTCCCGAGTACTGAGATTAAAGGTGTGCATGCATGCCCGCCACTACTGCCTGCTGAGGCCTCCTTTTTATCCCCCTCCCTTTATGAGACAGGCTGAACATGAAATTTCTGTGTAGCCAAAAATGACCTTCGATCTTCCTGCCTCCTCCTCCTGAGTTCTGTGGGCCACCATGCCTGGTTTTAACTCCCTTTGGTATTTAATACTTTTGTTTGAAAGGAGAAACCCAGAAAACAACAGGAGCTGGAGGAAACAGGATATGGTGTGGCAATGCCTCCCCTGGTAGGTTCTCTACTTGGTGTCCACTATAACATGTTACAGTAGAGCTCCCGACAGGAAGATGTGGGTTTCTCCATATTTCCAATGACAACTTAATCATTAAAAACAAGAGACAGTCCTTAAACTGGAGACTGCTTTACCCACTGAAATAAAGAATGAAATTTAACTGCATTAGTTATCATCCAAACTCAAAGAAAAGGAGGCAGGGTTTTAGTCTGTAGCCTAGACTGGCTTTGAACTTGCAATCCTCCTGCCATCCCCTCCTAAATGCTGGGGTTACAACTATCTGTCACCACACCAATCACTTTATAACCCCTGTTTTACATGGGCAATCAGCTAAAAGCAAAGCATTAACTTTCCAGAAAACCCTTTTTGCTTTGCCCAAATAAGAGATATGTACATTCTCGGGGCTGGAGTAACTTCTAAAGTGACAAGCACTCTAAATATCAGGAGAGACAGATGGGACTCTGAGTCTCATAAATGAAGTCCCATCTTCTTAAACATTAAGGCTCTCCTGTATACTTCCTTTTAAGTATGAAAAAAGTTGGAGACTCAGAACATGGTGTTACACAAAGACAAGAGAGAACTCCATTCAACAGCCTTTAATTCACTGTGCTTTCTCATTAAGTAAGGCAGTTCCTTGGGCATAAGTCCTAATGACTTTAAAGACAGAATCACTTTAGTGCTCAGTGATAGATCAAAACCCATCCTCAAACAGGGACTCATCTCATCAGAGCTTTTAACACAAGCTGCACTTCCATCAAGCCAATGGGTTCATGGTCATTGACAGATTAAATTCTCTTTCTGTCAGGAGTTGAAAAATCCCCTCAACTAAGTACATGTTAAAAAAAAGAAAGAAAGAAAAGAAAAAGAGGCTGGGCTCTTGAGGAAACTAGATGCCAACCTCACACTTCATTAATAAGTATCCTGCTCATCAACACCCAGGGATTCGGATACCTTTTTAATGGTATTGTGCTTGCTGCTGGTGCCGCCCCTGTCTGAGTTCTCGTTGTGTAGGATATCCAAGGCTGTCTCCCTCTCTTTGAGTTTCAAGGCCTCAATCTCTGTCTTGAGTTCATTGAGCTGCTCTTGCAGATGCTTGCTCTTCTCCATGTACTCCACTCTGTGGCAAGAGGAAGCCATGCATCAGAACTGGGCAGACACTGAAGCATGGAAGAGACACATCGAGACTTATAAGCTGCTCAGTATGGCAGCCAGGAGCAGCCTGCGGTTCACACTGGAACCTGGCCACGCAGAAGCCAAGGGAGTTTGGGCTACCCACTTAACTGCGATGAATCTCATTCCACATCAGTGCAGTTGGGATAATTATTACAGAGCCTCTGGTCAGGAAGAAATAAAGTGTAGGAAGAAAGCCCTGTATAAACTTTCAGGGTGCTCTCCAAATAACCCCCGCCACAGACAGCTTTCAGTTCTACATGAAGAATCACATCAAACAAGTCCTGAACCCCAAACACTCTTCTGTTTCTGCTTTCCTGAAGCAGTCAACCAAGTGATCCCACTTATCCTGAGACCGTTAGGAAAAGATGGCAGACACTCAGCCAACACTGAGAAGAAACAGGTCTCCACTTTCACCTGAAGAGGTGAAACTGTTTAACTATAAGAGCATGAACAGAAAACTATGTAACACAAATATAAGGAAACATTCTAAATGGATTACTGCAGCTAGTCCATGAGTCTGCCAGCCTGTGGAGAAAATGAGTGCTGCTGTAGGCTGAATGTAGTGTTGTCCCATTCATAGGCTGTGGCCAACTCACTCAAGTATTAGGAGGTGAGGCCCTGGGAAGTAATTAGTTCATCCGCCTCATGTTGGGATTTACGTCCTTAAAAAAAAAAAAAAAAAAAGACCCTAAAGAGATCCTGCACATATGAGCACGCAGCAAGGGCCATCTGTGAACCAGGAAGAGGACTCTCATTGAACTCTGAGTAGACAACGACCTGACCTTGAATCTCTAAGTCTTCAGAACTATGAGAAGTAAATTTCTGTTCTTTATAAGCTTTCCAGCCCCTGGCATTTTGTTATAACAGCCAAACACACTAAGTCAGTAAGAAAATACAAACTATAAAAAACCAACGCACAGGACAGGATGTGGCCTTATGCTGATCACAACCACATAAACATGTACATCTGGACAATAAGAAAGGACTGACTCTGATGCTGACAGCAGCGGCTCTGGATCACAGCTCCTTAGCTGTTCTTAGTAGAGGATCAAAGGAGGATAGCCTGGTTCATGATGGTTCCTGCTGGACTGCAGAGTGCTATGCTGAGAGTACCACAGTGAGTGGGGGTTTCAATACTTGTCCTGCTCCTCATCAGCTATGTGATGCCGGGTGACTCATTAAACTAAGTCTATTTGCTTTTATACAACTGGAACACTAAAACTGGTTTTTGGAAATAGAGCCTTATGCAGCCCAGGCCAGACTTAAATTTGTTATGTAGCCAAAGATAATAATGCAGTTCTGGTCTTTGTATCTCTACTTCCTGAGAACTAAGATTATTGGCGTAGGCATCATGGCTGACTTATACTGTGCTGGAGATTGAACTCAGGGCTTAACACATGCTGGGCAAGCACTCTACCAACTAAGTTATATCATCAGACCCTAAAACCTGCCTTTGATGCCAGTGAAATGTTTGTTAACTAGTATGAGTTAAATAAGACAAACCCTAAAAAGCCCAGACTCACAGGTGCTCAACCCACAGGGCCTCCGTGATGGTTCTCTGCCAGCCGTGGCTCTATTAACCAACTTACTTCTGGCTCAAGGCCTGAGGGGGAATCTTACTTATCTCTCATCTACCACGGGACTCCTCCACTTCCGCTGACCACTTACAGAAGCGGCTGTGGTCTGGCTGGTTGTCAGCATAGAGGAACTGGTTCCAACAGGACCCAGGCTTTGCTCAGCTTAGAAACCCTGTCTTGTTTTTTGTTTTCTTTTTCTTCACCTTTGTTTTAGACATAGGAACCACTGCTGAAGAACATGCTGAAGAAAACTAGTTAAGTACTATGCAAACAACAGTCTGACTGCGGGACTTACCATGATCCAGTCTTTTCTTCAGTCAAGGCTTGAACCACTATAAATTCCAGGCCACCAATCAAGTGTTATTTTTATTCTGGGACACTGACTGCTGTCCTGATCGGTTATCTTTAATTTCTAATTAGGAAATTTGTTCTCTAGTGGGTGACGACAGAGCAAACCTTTGCAGGGGTAATGACTGACTGCTGTGGTGACCTCTGTGTCCCCAGACCAAATCTACTCTCTCATGTTCACAACTGCCTCGAGCAAGAAGGCCACAGAGGGTACATACTTTTCTTTCTCTATCTCCATGGAAAGTCTCTTCATGTCAGTATCCTTGAAGTCGAATGACAGGCTGTCACCAATGATGTTGAAGCTTGGTATGTCAGGAGGCAGTGGGGCCGGGATTGGGTTCACAGGCTGTCAGTGAGAAAGCTCAGATTAGGAGGTTTAAATTACACAGGACAAAGTCCTCTACACTCAGCACTGCCAGCGAAGTGGTCCCAAAGCACCCACATTCAGACAAAGGCACTCTTCTCTCCTCAAACCTCGCCATTTCCATGATCGTTTGAATCAAATACAAACTTGCACTCAGCTTTTCGTGTGGGAAACTCCCAGGCATGGGGCTGTGAGCTGGACACAGAGAAGACAGGCTCCCTGGATCTAAGCACATGAAAGTCTCGCTCAGGAAGCAGATGTCTACAAGTTCTCACAGTAAGGTAAACACTAGCCAGGACAGGAACAGAGGCTTAGGAGGCTGGAGGGGGTCACTAGAGTACTGCTTCCATGGGGATCAGTGAATAAGCCAAAGAAGGGTATCAGGCAAGAGGCATGGTGGTAGGCAGCAGGGTGAAAGGGGTCCAACAGGAGCACTGGGCATCTGAAGGCCCTGTATGGAGGCTGGTAAGAGACTGGCTTTGGACCAGAAAGGCTTTGCTCATATGTTAGGAGCTTAGATCCAGAAGACAGAGTCAGAGGAGGGCTTGAAATAAAGTGTGAAGTCACTAAACTTGTCTGCAGGACCTTTTCACCTCAGAACAAAAGGTCACCTAACATACAGCCCCTAGCTACCTCCCAAGTGTCCCCCATTATTTGTCCCGTTAAATCATAACCAGTACTGCTTATTATCCCTTGGACCGTGCCAATTTGGCATTTGTGTACGTCTGCATGTGTCCTTTCTTTCTTTCCGTCCTGGCTCCTTTCCTCTCTCTCCCTCTTTCCTTGTCATTGTCCATGGTACTAGGGTGTGCGTGTTAGGTAAACGCTCTACCACTAAGCTATATCCCCAGCCCTTTTGCTGTCATTTTTGAGATAGGATCTCACCACATAGCCCAAGCTGGTCTCAAGCTCGTGAGTCTTCTGTCTCAGCGTTCTGAGTACTAGGATTACAGGTGCATGTCATCAAATCTAGAAAGTTCTCCATTCCTTCTTCCAGGTTCTCAACTCCGTCCGTCTCTCGCCCTCTTGGCGAATGGCTGCTCTTTCCCTTTGCAGCTCTTTAGCATGTGTGCACAGGGCTGCAACAGGTCTTTCCCTCAACCCCACACTGTCAAATTCCCTCGTGGCTATCTTCTCCTTTCTCTGCTACAAACTTCCTGAGGGCACACTGTCTTTTTCATCCTTGGATTTCTTACCGAGTCTGGAACAGTGTGCAGAAGGAACAGAACCTCTGAACTTTCATTTATGGCGTTGAGGTCTAAGGCAGGGTCTGTGGCGAGCGTCAAACATGGCTCTAACCGGGGACATCTGGGCCCTACATATACTCTGCTTCCAGAGCTGAATGCTGGGTATATGAGAGTCCGGTCTGTGAAAATTCATCAGGCTGGATAGTTGGGCATATCTTACACTTAAAAAAAATCCCAGGAAGGAAGAACACTAGCTGTTACCTTTCTGGTGAGAGCAGAAACTGGCCTAACCTCTTTGGTAAGTATCACAATTGAACACCTGACCTCACAGTTCTACTTACAAGAACTGAATCCACCAATGATGCCACATATGTGTGCAAAGATTTGTGTTCAGGGATGTTCAGTGCAGTTGTATTCAAAACGGCTACAGAAAACATCGTAAATACCCATCTATAGGGACTGGCTAGCTGAATTACAATCCACCCATAGGACACGATGTGATTAAGGAACCAGTGTGTTCTCCTCCAGAACACATTGCTAAAGGAAAGAGCAATTTATAAGGTTTGCTCCAATAGATGTTTTAAACACATGTATTTCAGGTACACAGCCCAGCTGAGTCCTCAGACTATCACAGTTCCAGGTGTCACCTGAGTGTGACCACCAGAGAGATCTTGAGAGAAGACATGAGCCTGATTGACACATCACACCCAAGAGACAATAGATTGTTGTTTGGGGGTTATCTGTTACCCAGGAATAGATAATAAGGACACATGGCAATAGCAAACTGCTCGCATTTCCCCAACTCAAACCCTGGGCACTTATGTCTCTGTGTCCTGAATACATCTGTGCAATAAGTGAATGTGCCATGTGCACAAATGTGCAGTGTGTTTGTCATGTACACAACTGTGCAGTGTGTGTGGCATATGTGTGAATGGGCTACGTGTTTGTGCTGTGAATACATTGTGTCCTTGCCTAGAATATCCCATTCTCTTTCCTGCTCAGCAGGGAATCCAGCTCCTCTGCAAAAACGCAGCCATACTAAGCCTTTCCTGTCTGCAGAGCTGGGTGTGATCTGGGCACCTGTGCATATCTTCAGGACAGAGACTGCCAGTTGATGGTATGACAGGGACAGAGACCAAGTGAGCGAAGGCTTTGCAGAGTGGACATGCAGAGGAAAGGAAGGGAAGTGACGTCTACTTATCTCGTGACCCCATTTAGTACAAGTCAGTCTCCCATACCCAAAACTGAGAGGTTGGCAGCTGGTTCTGGCACAGCAGTGTTTCACTCTGAGGTGTAGAGTCAGTCCCTTCACAGAACTATATTATGGCACACAGTATATACTGACAGCTGAAGGATACATTTAGCTTGGCATTAGGGAGCTAGACAGCAAGCTCTCTTGAGTGTAGAGACTATAGCAGTCATAAACATTCCAGAGTTAGAAAGAGCCCTATGGTCTGCTGTCTAAGCAACAAGAGCGGTAACTGACTAGCTAGCCCAAGGCTGAATTGCAGACTAGGAGGGTCCTATGCAGGCTTTGCTTTGTTTTGCCACCCTGAAGGCACTGTGAGGTGAAGTGAAGAGCTGGGAGGCTTAGGGAAGTTGCTAGACTGAGCCCAGGCTCACTGGATATGTGGGCTTGGTGGCGATCTCCATGAGCTTCTGCTTGGCTCTTCGCTCTGCTTCCCGGGCTTCCTGAAGGTCTTGCTTTAGCTGATCTGCCTCTTTGGCTCTGCAAAGAAAGAAAGGGATGTCAGTTCCATAGAAGGGGGCAGGGAGAGTGAGTAGACATTTACCTTACTTCCAGAGCAAGGACCTGAATTAACACTGTACATGGCACCTAACAAGGCAAACAAGGACAATGTGACAGGGACATTTACAGGAAGCCAGAACGTCTAAGGTAATAACAGTATTCCTGGGTGCTGTTATCTCAATGGTAAAGCTAGATTAGAATATGGGGTACTTGTTGGGAAACAATAAGAGGCAGTTCTGCAAGCCAGTGAAGTGGTTTGTGCTTGTGGTACCAGCTACCCCAGAAGCTGAGGCAGGGGAATTACTTAAGGCCAGGAGTTGGAGGACAGCCTGGGCAACACAGGCAGATGCAATCTCAAAAGAAGAAAAATAGCAAGTGTGGTAGCCTATGCCTTAAACTCCAGCACTAGGCAGCAGAGGCAGGCAGATTTCTGAGTTTGAGGTCAGCTTAGTCTACAAAGTGAGTTCCAGGACAGCCAGGGCTATACCCTGTCTCAAAACGAAACAAACAACAACAAAACCAACCCACCTCTGAAACAGGTTGAGAGGAGGGAGACACTCTGTTTCTGGGTGAAGAGTGGGATGGGCAAAGGAGGGCATCACAGCTTTACACTGAGGACATCATCACAAGCCTTCCACTGTGCCACAAAGGGTAGAATGTGGAAAAAATTGTTTCTTCATACCCCAGTAAAGCACTGTACATAGGTTTTACATCGGTGCTGGGGACACAAACTCAGGTCCTTATGCTTGTGCAGCAGGTACTTTACTGATTAGGCCATCTCCCTGGCTCCACTTCCCTTTAAAAAATTATTTTATTATGTATATGGGCGTTGTGCCTGCATGTATGTTTATGTACCATGTGCATGCCTGATGCCCATGGATGCCACAGGGGGGGTTGCATCACCTGGAACTAGAATTACAAATGGTTGTAAGTCACCATGTAGGTCCTGGGAATCAAACCCAAGTTCTCTAGAGAGCAGCCAGTGCTCTTAATCCGTGAGTCATCTCTCCAGCACACTGCTCCCCCCCTCTTTTAAAGGCAAAAAAGGCCTCTTCTTATCTCTTTGGCTAAAAGCAGCCTCTGGATATGCTTAAATGTTATTTCCTGCAAGCCTCACAATTAGGAGGCATGATAGAAAGGTTCCCTGGGCAAGAGAACTTCCATCCCACCAGCCTGTCAGGGCAGGAGTCCTATAGTCCTGTTCCCACAACAGAAAAGACGTCTAAGGATGCTGCACCCACCTTGGGTAGGGTTGGAACCAAGCAAGCAGCCCTTTGCCAGCTCCAGTACCCAGGACAACCACTCACCTCCTCTCTGACTCCTCGGCCATCTTCAGGGCCAGCACTTCAGCCTCCAGCACCTTCTGCTCCATCAGGCGCTTCTCCTCCTCTGTCCGAATGGCTGTGGCCTTGATTCGCTGCATCTCCTGCTCAGCCTCTGCAGCCTTTTGTGCCAGAAGCTTGGCCTCCTCCTCCGTAATCTGTGCCTTTTCAGCCAACAGGTCAGCTGTTTCCTCAGACCGCATCTGGGAAGGAAAGTGATCTCAGACAGTGTACAAGCTTATCTCCCCACATCTGGCCTCCCAATGGCAATAAAAACCAGCCTTTTATTTTTTTTAACTTTTATTTTTATGTGTATAGGTAGTATGTATGTATGTATGTATGTATGTATGTATGTATGTATGTATGTGTGTGTGTGTACCTGTATATGCAGTGCCTTTGGAAGCCAGAAAGGGCCACTGAATCCCTCGAGGCTAGAGTTACAGAAGGTTGTAAGCTGCCCGGTGGGTCCAGGGTATCAAACCCCCTTGCTAACCACTGAGCCATCTCTCCAGCCTCCAGGAGCCAGTCTTAATCTTCCTGTGCCTTCCCACTGAGAGATTCTCAGTCTGTCTGACAACAGATGACATGTTACACACTAACTACTCAGCTCTGCAGGCTCCATCATAGGAAAAAGAAAAAAGCATTCTAGGTAGAGAATGCATTCCAGCTAAAGCTTATGTTTGTAGGGAAATAAGCAATTTAAATTCTGTTCTGTCCCTTTAAGTCAGTGATTCAAAGGCAGGAGTCATGCCCACTGCCTACTCCTGCACAAACGTCTGAGACTATTTTCCTGCAGTGCTGGAGAATTAAATGCAAGGTAGACTGAGCATGGTGGTATGCCTCTCCTCCAATCATGATCAAGAGTGCAAGGTTTTCCTTGGTTATATAATGAATTCGAAGTCCAGTCTGGGACACCTGGAACCTGTCTTCCCACTAACCACATCTAAAACTGAATATATGAGAACAAATAAAAACAGAATCTTGGGCATGCTAGAAAAGGGCTCTGTTCCTTACCCACATCCCAGCCCTAGGACATTTTTGAGGCTGGAGTGGCATTACTGGCAGCTAGCAGGTAAAGGTAAGGACATTACAAGCATCCTTCAATAAAGAGAACTACTCCCAGATTATGGTTGGTATTACTCCCCAAGAATTGGTAGGGCTAAGGCCAAGAACCCCTGATTCAAAGTTATGAAAGTGGAGTTTGTCTGCAAATGAACTTAACCTAAATTTTGCAGAAAGAAAAGGTACTGGTGTTTTAAAAAGTGAAGTAAATCACGGTCCACAGGAGGCTTAACTGCACAGGTCACCTCCCAGAGCCCTCACGCAGAAATCACCAGAGCTTCATTGGCCATCGCTGCTTCTTCTTTCATCTGCAGAAGCCTCCTCTCTAACTCATCCCTTGTGCGCTCAGCCTCCTCCCGCATCTGCTTCTCTCGAGCCAGCCGCTGACGCTCCATCTGGGAGGAAAGAACAGTGCCAAGTCTCAGTGCTGCAGAAACCCAACAACGCCAATTTCTGGGGCCTACTCTCCTCTGGGGATCCTGTCACAGTGTCTTCACTTTTGTTAGCCTGGGTCATTCTTGCTGTCTGCTGCCCTCTGTCCTAAACTAACTGCAGAACTAAAAGCTGTACTCCTTGAAACAAATTCCGTAGGGAATACAAATTACAAAACCCAAATTCAGTCTCCACGTGCAGAGAAAAGTGCATTCTTGCACACAACATGGCCTGGCCTTACAAGGTCCTGCTGTTTGGGAGACCCCCATGGCTCTGCTCTGTGACTCTCAGCTCTCCACATAGGTTCCTTCTCCCCAGAACAGTGGCCCAGAAAAAAAAGCTCTCTGATCTGTTCAGATGAGCCACCTTGACATTGTTAGTCCCCATGGCCCCTTCACACAATTTCATCCACAACAGCGCCACTTTCTCCCATTACTTACAGAGAATGATAGTTGTCACTCAGAATTTCACAGCAGGAAGCTGCAGTGGCTTTGCACAGTCTTGTATAGCCCCGTGTGGAGGCAACTCAGAGCCAGGCAGGAGCATAGACCCCACCCTTATAGAAACAGCACAAAGCCTCTACTGCCACCCTCTAGCCTTCTGGATCACAGTGTTAATTGGGCCACCTGCAAGCTTAATAAGGGGACCAAGACTAAAGACAACACAGTTTTCTGTGACTCCAGGGCACTGAGTTCAGAAAGCAGGAGCCGGAAGTAACCAAGGTACTATTTTCTGCCTTAGATAACAAAATTATGTTTAATTACTCCTCTGGCTTCAATCTCACCCAAACTCTAGTACTACAAGGCCACCCTTTCTAAATATGAGCTCCCTAAGCACCCTGTAATTGAAAGAATCATGCAAAACACCTAAGCAATAAAGCCAGTTCTTTGATTTTCCTCTTGACCTCAGTGAACAGTTGGCAATCTGTTCTTCAATTTCCATAAAATATAATTTCCATTATTCTCCTTTTGAAAAAAAAAAGACCAGGCTGTCCCCCGTTCGCAGTCTTGTACTTTTCATGAGACCTTCACCCTAAATAAGGATTTCCTGCTTTCAAAGCAGGTTATGACTTATAAAGATTTCCAGGTGCAATGTGTTCTCTGAAAAGAGGCATCACCAGCCCCACTTGACAGATGAGAAAACTGAGTCACACAGATAAAAGATTTAGCTGTAAGGTCACCATGTTCCACTGGACGGCATTTGCACTATTCGCTTCCAGGGCCCAGGGGCCTTCACGCTCCTCGATGCCTTTAGATCTCTAACTTCTAAACTTTCCTCTGCTGAAAGTGAGGTCAAAGAGTGTGCTTCTTAAAGTCGTCACTACACCCCTATGCTAGCTTAGTAGTTTTTGGTGTTGTTCAAAAGAACCTACACCATCATCCCTAAAGCATTAGAAAGAAGACACTGATGGCCCATTGTCCCAGAAAGCAACCAGCTCACTGGCTCAAACGGGGCATTTCTCTCTAAAGCCTGGGGCTGGGAGCCAGCCTCTCTGGACTTCCCAAATCAGAGAACACCACACAGACTAATTATTACACCTCTGAGCTTACAAGTCCTGAGGGGCGGCCAACTGCAGCTGTAGCTACTCTATCAAGCAGTTCATTCCAAGCCACAATTGATATTCTTAGCAGCAAGGCTCAAATTAGCTGTGGACTTCAGTGAGCAGAAACATCGATGCAGCCAGTGCAGTCTGCTGCTAGGTGCTGGTGGCACCTCCTGCAGAGGCCAGCCAAGTGTGCCTAGGTTGACCTGCAGCGAGGAAGTGCAGCGGGAGCCTAATCAACATTCTACAACATGCACTGAGTGCTGCCCTGCATCCTATCACCATCTAATTAGAAGGGCACTGACCTGGCAGAGGAGACAGACATAAAAAAGGACAGAGACACAAAACCATGCCTGGCTACCTTGTCCCAAGCCTGTGATAAGTATAGAAATGCTAAAGACCTTTTGTTTTTAAATACGCTATTAGAACTTAGTGTGAATTTCCCTTAAATTTTTATTTCATTTATTTATCTGTGTATGTAAGTATGCATGTGGTAGTCAGAAGATGACTTGTAGAAGTGAGTTTTCTCCTTCCACCGTGTGACTACTGGGTATCTAACTCAGGCTGTCAGGTTTGGTGGCAATTACCCTTACCCACTGAGCCATCTCGACAGCCATGTGCTTATTTCCATAGCAGACACCCCATTATCTGGGCATTAGCTAAAAAAGATCCAACAGGAATGAAATAAGAGCAGGTATGTCTATAACCAGGCTGACAACAGCCATCCCTTATCTCTAGGCCAAGACTGACCAAAAGTCATATCATCAATTAAAACAAGGTCTTTAGGCCAAGTGTGGCGATGCACGCCTTTAATTCCAGCACTCAGGAGGCAGAGGTAGGCGGATCTCTGTGAGTTTGAGGTCAGCCTGGTTTACAGAGCAAGTTCTAGGACAGCTGGGACTGTTGTACAGAGAAACCCTGCCTTGAAAAAATAAAACAAAAAAACACAAGAGCATTGGTTATTATTATTCATTATTGTGTGTTTGAGTGAATGCATGAAATGTGTGGTACGTGTCCTATGGTACAAGTGTGGATATCAGAGGGCAACTCTGTGGAGTCCGTTCTCTTTCCATTTCTCATGGGTTTCGGGTATCAAATGAACAATGTCAGACTTGCACAGCAAGTACCTTTCCCTGATGAGCCACCTTGGCAGTCGTAAAACCACGTCTTAGCTGGGCGTGGTACATGTCTGTGATTCCAGAATTCTGGAAGCTGAGGTAAGAAAACTGTCTTGAGTTTGAGGCCTGACTTGCCTCCCCAGAGTGTGCCAGGCCAGCCAGGACTACATAGTAATAATGTGCCGCAAACAAACAAACTAGGGACTGGAGGAATAGCCCAGTTAGTAAAGTGCTTGCTCTGCAAACATGAATACCCGAGTTTGATCCCTAGTACCCACAAAAAAGTCAGACACAGTAGCATACTAGGGAGGCAGACACAGCCAGAGCCCTAGGGCTTGCTAGCTTAGCTTTATCAGTGAGCCCCCTGGCCACTGAGAGACCCCAGCTCAAAAGACAAAGTAGATGTTCTTGAAGAATGATAACTAAAGTTGGTCTGTGGCCTCCAAAATCAAGAGCACAAATACATACATGTATACACAAGCCACCCGAAAGAACGGAACCTGAAGCCTTACTCACCTGCTTTCTCGCCTTCTCTTCTCTGGCCTGGGCTTTCATCTGCTGAACTTCTAAAGAGTCAGCCTTCCTTCTCCTCATAAATAGGTCATGGTTCCCAATACATAGCTGGAGAATCTGAGGCCACAGAAACAGAGAACATGCTAAGTGTATACATTTACTTTGCTGCCTACCAGCCCACCGTGCCAGCATCTGTGAGCAGCAGTGAGCCGAAGGAAGACAGACTGGGGTAAGCACAAAAGCCCTGCTGATGTCTCCTAATGCTCTCAGTTCTGGGAACATGCATGAGGAAGGTGCCTCAGACAAGCCAGGAGACAAAAATCATAAGTGGAGAGAGGACACTGCATTAGTCAACCAAATGTACCACAGTCTCCTAAGTCAAGATGTGGCAAGACAGCGAGGGGACACTGAAGACCAACCAGGAAGCTGGGTTGGGTTAAAGGTTATTCATGTGGAAAGAAATAAGCTTGCTCTCTCCCTCATACCAAAAAGCTGATTCCAGCTTCAGAGGTAACTTTTATTTGAAAATACAGAGTATTTTTAAATCAGGAACAAGGAAAGATGTCAAATAAGAATACAGAACAACAAATGATTGAGGATTGTTTTTTTTTGGGGGGGGGCACGTTCAGGACAGGGTTTCTCTGTGCCACAGCCCTGGCTGTCATGGAACTTGCTTTGTAGACCTGGCTAACCTCGAACTCACAGAAATCAGCCTACCTCTACCTCCCAAGTGCTGAGACTAAAGGCATGACCAAATATTTTATGTGTTGACATGAAAGGTGAAAATTTTTATTTGCCATAACATCATAAAGAAGGAAAATAAGCTTCATAAGGAGGATAATAATAAGGAAAACAAACAACCCAAGAGGAAAGTAGCCAAAAGACATGAAGCAAAAATTTAACAGGAAATTAGATTTGGCCAAAAAATACAAAAATGTAACTTTATTAGTAATTATAAAACACAAATCGATATGGCAACTGGAGGGCTGAGACATACCTCAGGTAGAGTGTTTCCTGACATGCACAAGGCCCTAGATTTTATCTCCACTCTACCCCCCCTTCCCCCAAAAGGTTAGCTCTATAGGTTAAACTAAAGAGAAAATTATTTACCAAATCAATTATCATTTTATACCTCTTAGCAAGAGAAACTAGGAACAGACCCCTGGCAGAGGAGTGATATATATGTGTGTGTGTGTGTGTGTGTGTGTATATGTACACACACATATGATATACATAAAATTTATATATGTATAAATAATCCAGTTCCTCAGAAAGGTTAGTTCTCTGTCATGAAAACCAGGATCTCAACTTACCAGTTTATTAACACGAAGCTTTGAGGAGTTAAATTTGAAAACATCAATTTTCTTATCCAGCGGCTTAATAGTAAACTGAAAGAAAAGAGTATAGTTTCATATGACACCAACCGGGAATCCACATAAGTAGCAACCACACTGCCCCTAGTCCTGGCCTCCTGGTGCCCAGGAATGAAGCCTTGATAGGTCAGAGGTATTTAGGGACCAAGACTGGGGCTGCAGAAGTTCATGACCCTAACCACCTCGGGTAGGCGTGAGGGACCGACAGTGGCAACCTGGAGTGGGAGTCCACGATGGGTCTCTAGAGGCCACACTGGCACAGCTCCCTGCCTTCAAAGCTCAGCCTAGTAGGACTCAATCCAACAACAGCCAATACTCAGGAGATAACACCATATACCAGGGTCTCATTGGTGGGACATCATAAATACATAAATATCCTAGAGATTTAGAGCAGATCCAGTGTGAATGGGAGGTATTACAACTGATCTTAGTCATATATGGCAGGATAGCTAAAAGATAGGGTAGAGGGACATTCTAGACAAGCCTACCCCCCTCCCCCTCTCTCTCTCTCTCTCTCTCTCTCTCTTCCCCTCTCTCTCCCTCTTCCCCCTCTCTCTCATACACACACATACACACACACACACACACACACACACACACACACACACACACACACACACAGAGGAAGACCAAAGTTCAAAGCCAACCTACTCTATAAAGAGTTCCAGGCCAGCCAGAACAATATAGTGAGACCAGCTTCAAAAACAAAACAAAACAAAAAAGCATATTTAGATAAAGGAATTTTATATGCATATATGAAAATGTCTTGCTGACACCCAATACTTTGTACAATTAGCATATGCTAACAAATATTGCAAAACTGCATATACATTCTCAAGAAAGAATTGTACAGCTACTCCCAGCAAAGCAGGAAAAAAAGTAAATAAATGATTGAGCCAGAGGTGTAACTCTTGCCTGCGTATGGTCTCTATCCACAGGACCACTAAATATAAAACGGAAAACAAAACAAAAAGAATGAGTTGCTTAGTAAATAAGCTTACCAGGGAAGGCAAATTTTTGGGTATTTATTTACATGATTATATTGTCCAATGAGAAATGAACACACAAAAAATTTTTTAAAAATCCTTTGCTTTGGTTCTGACCAAGTTAATTTAGTCATAGTATTGCTCTGTTGTAGAATATTATTTATGAATTTCAAAAGCTTATTTGTAGCCTTGCTAATGAACCCTAAAGCTGTCAGTGGGGAGCCACAGAAAGTATGGAAACTACAGGCTCTGTGTCATGCCAGGCTGTATACAAAGAATCAATAAACTTAAACTATTTTAGCAGGATGACTGCTACACATAACTCCCAAGAGTACTCCCATTGTGGCATGCCAAAGCAGCTTCCGGTCTGCTTGCCAAGTAAGGTACTGATATGATGAACATGAAGGTACCTTGCCCTAGAGAGGGCACATTAGAGTTTGTTGTGTCAGCTATACTAGGGACCTTAATCCTTCAGCTCTCTGAAAAACAAGTATTTGAGGAACCTTTAGTGTACAAATGTATGATGTGTGGTGAATAGCCTTTGTGAAATTGGAAAGTGAAGGACTAGTTACTTTTAAGTCTTGTGGTGCTTCCAATTTAAGAACCTGAATAAAAAAGAACTACCTAATACTCACTTCTCAGGATAACCAGCTACAAAACCAACTGTCAGGATGTCTAGATTAAGAAATGCAACTGAAGCTGGACGGTGGTGGTGCACACCTTTAATCCTAGCACTCGGGAGGCAGAGGCAGGCTGATTTCTGTGAGTTCAAGGCCAGCCTGTCTATATAAGCTACACAGAGAAATCCTGTCTCGAAAAACAAAACCAAACCAAAAAAATGCAACCGGCCTGGCAAATGGCTCAGCAAGTAAAGGTGATGTCACCAAACCTTGAGAATTAAGTGTGAACCCTGGTAACAACATGGTTAAGGAGAGAAAAGACTCTTGGGTATCAATTTGACTGCACCTGGAATCAATTAAAACCCAAGCTTCCAGGCACTCCTGTGAGGGATTTTCCTTCTTCCTTCCTTTTTGATTTTTCAAGAACTGTGTAACAGTTCTAACTATCCTACATATTTTCTCTATAGACTAAGTTGTCCTCGAACGCATAGAGATCTGCCTGCCTTTGCCTCCAGTGTGCTGAGATTAAGAGTATGAGAGATTTTCTTAATCTCTGTGTCTTCCTGTGAAGCAGGAAGACACATCCTAAATCTGGGTCATATTTTCTGGTGGTAGCCCACATAAAAGAACAGAGAAGAAGGAAACTTTGCTTTTGCCTGCTTGCTGTCACTGTTGCTAGCACATTTATATACCCTGTTAGTGTAGCATTCCTTCACCAATATTAGATTACAACACAGAATAAAGACCAGAAATGTTTCAGGAATCCCCCAGGCCTTAGATCAAGACTGCAGAGACAGCTAACCTTGTGGACTGAAAAACTACTGGATTCTCAGTCTGCAGTGTAAGACAGCCATTGTTGAACTACTTGGACTGCATACTGTAAGTCAATCTACATATTAGTATACATATTCATCCTATCTGTTTCTGTTTTCTTGTGGAAAAATATGACATAAACTTCACCATGTTAATCAACTTTAGTAAAGATCAGCCCCATCTACATTCTGAAATGTATTCACAAATGTTGTGTCTTCTAAATACATAACTAGACAAACACACACACACACACACACACACACACACACACTCATTTCTCTCTTTCTGTAGTCTCAGGGACTAATATACCTCCTACAAAATATATAACTATCACCCTGGCATGGTTGTTCACACCTTTAATCCCAACATTCAGGAAACAGGCAGATCTCTGAGAGTCGAAGGCTGGCCTTGTCTACATAGAAAATTCAAGGTCAGTTAGAACTACAAAGTGAGATCCTGTTAAAAATCAAAACAAAGCACCCCCCAAAAGTTTACACACACACACACACACATGCGCCTTTTCCACTACATGTAACAAACACAGTACATAGGGAGAAACTTAACATAGACCACACTTAAAATACAAAGACACAGAAAGCTAAGAGGTCAGAAATGTTCCTTTTTCCTTCTTTCTGTTCTTTGGGGTTTAGTCCTGACAGGTTGAGCTGCTCACTCTCCTGTTAGTCAATAGTAGGCTTTAGCCATGCCCTCTGAAGAAAGGATGCCAAGACTGTTCCATAAGTACTTTAGAAATCAACAACCAAAGTTCTAAAGCCTGGGGATTAAAGGACTTTCTCTGACAAGGAAATGGGCTGGCTTGGGAAGCTTTGGCAACGAGGAGAATGGGAAAGGGCCTTTTGCAGGGTCACTGTACCACAATGGTACCTGTAGTATAGACATCTCCTACCTCCTTGTCGCTGTAGGAGATGTTTCGGATTTCATTCCATGGGAAGGAGATCTTGGGGGTCAGCCTGTTCTCTGGGTCATAGATATGAAGTCCTAGAGCATCCACTCCAAGCAGCAACTCTGTGCCCTTTTTATTCTGCAGAGCCAATGAAGAGCAGCTTTTGTTAGCTTCTGGCTGGGGATTTTATTCAACTTTCTAAAGAATCTGGCACACACTGTTACATTTGACAAGTTTCAACAAGTCCCAACAGAAATCACAGTTCTCTTGCAACCCAGGAGGCTTCCAGGATCTGGATTTAGGGAAGCAGAGACAAAACAATACCATTTTTGTGACCGGTGTGTTCCCTGAGTCACTGTGGACTCAGGCTCCTGTCACTGACTTGGTGGCTGAAGAAATGGTAATTTAAGTGTTGTGAGTACTAGTTAAATAACCAGATTATCAGAGGGAGAGCCAAAATTCACATGTTTGTACATTTCTCCCCTTATAGGTAGCTTCATGGTGCCACTGTTGCTTTGTGGTAGTGTTCTTGTTTGGCACGTACAAGGCCCTAGATTTGATCTTCATCATCTCACACATACACAAAAGTTGTTGGATTTCTAGAAGGAAAAATTTAAGTCTAGGGGCTAGATGACCTTATTTCAGGTTACAATGCAGTCTCAATGTAGTTTTACTGTATCATACCCTAATATGGTAAAATGTTAACTGCATTTTAGGGGTCGTTAGGTGGTAGGTATATATGACATTCACTGAAAACTCAATTTTCCCAAACGTTTCAAATGCTTGATAATTAAATGTTGGAAGAAATATAAAAATAAAATATGTATGAATTATACTTCAATGAAGCTGTTCAAAACACTAGTTAACTAAATGAATGCTATATTACCTCCGAGAAGGCCCTGACCAGCAGTTAGTACAACCAGAGGCTTAGTGCCTGGTGCCCCAAGTTACTGACCCAGCTCTGGAGCCACTGGCTCCATCCTGGTCGACAGACCAATTTGCCAGTGCAGTAGTTTAGCCTTTGTTGTGCAAAGAAACTCCCTGCACACACAAGGACACTACAGCTCCTGACCCCTTGCTGACAACAAGGAAATTAAGCCAAGACTCAAGGGTAGGACACAGCAGGTCTGCATACTGAGGAGGTGCTTAGGCTGTGACAAGAAGTACCAATCTAACTGCAGGGTTAGGTGGGGAGGTGTGCACTCTAAGTTCAATCTGTCTGCTCCTTCTAACACCTGAAGCCAGGCGCTGCCACCCGGGCGTAAGAATGTTCTGCTTGTCTGCAGAGCTTTTAAAAGTGACGCATTGACAGAATTGAGGCTTGTATTCTTACATCTGTACTCCATTTTGGAAAATAAGGTATTTCCTTATGTTTTGATGATTTAGTTTAAATTAAAAAAGAAAGAATTCCACATCTCTGCGATCATTATGATTGCGACACTTCTAGAGACTAGAGAGGGCAGCACAGATAACTCCTCTGAAATTGTTTAATCACCTAGCAACCCATTAATATGTACAAGCACCTATTTATCAGTCAAAATAAAATGTTTTAAGCATCTATCTTCCCTAGTTAATGAGAGAATTTAAGGTCTCTAACATAAAATTACTAAAATGTCTTTGTCTGTTGTTCAACATAAAAAACATAAAAAGTAGTTCATGCTCATCTGACTCACGCAGGAAACATTTCTATTAAGAAGAAGAATCTGGCTTCGGGACTGCTGAGTAGCTCAGTGAGTCAAGATGCTCATTATCCCACTTGATGACCTGAGTTTGACCCCCAGGACCCACATGGTAGAAGAGATGTCTAGTGCGCCACCAGGAATAAATAGACAAATAAATATATATTATATATATAATTTTTTCTTCTAAGTAAAGTAAATTTATAAGAAACAATGGTAGATTTTGGGGTTTTGTTGGTTTTGTTTGAAACAGGGTTTCTCTGTATAGCCTTGGCTGTCCTTGAACTCAGAGATCCACCTGCTTCTTCCTCCTGAATACTGGGATTAAATGTGTTCACTACCACCATCCAGCTAAGAGGTTCTTTAAGGATTGTAAAATGCTTGCTTTCTTTCCCTCCCTCCCTCCCTTCCTTCCTTCCTTCCTTCCTTCCTTCCTTCCTTCCTTCCTTCCTTCAATACAATTAATGGTGGTAGTGGGCAAGAAAAGTTAGTTGGGTTGACAAAAATCACAGAAACCCACTAGTCTAATCTCAATGAAATGATGTTAGATACAAATTAATGAAACTTTTAATTATTTAATATTTACATACTTGTGTGTGCTGTGTTCTGTACATGCATGTTTATGCCATAGCACATATGTGAAGATCATAGACAATGTGCGAATCAGTTCTCTGCTTTCACCATGTGGACTCATGGCATGGACTGAATCAGGATGTCAGGCCAGGCAGCAAGTGCCTCATCTACTACTCCATCTCACTGGTCTTCATGAAACATTACACATCACCTTCTGCACTCTTCTTTAAAGATTTGTTTTTATTATTATTTTTAGCTACATATTTATATGTCTGTGTACAAAGTGTAGGTGCCCTTGGAGGCCAGAGGCATCAGATCCCTCTGGAGCTGGAGTTTCAGGCAGTGTGAGCCTCCCAAACTGGGAGCTGGTAAACTGAATTCAGGTCCTGCTGCAAAAGTGGTATATGCGCTCAAGTGTTGAGCCATTGTTCCAGACCCTACGACCTCCTGCATTCCTATAAAATACATTTCTAGTCACCTGCTTATTGTTGCAGAACATTTCAGCGTGCCCCGTTTTTTATGCAAAAAAATCCACAAAAACCTGTATTTAGGAAACAAATTAAGTAGAAAGCTATCCTAGAACACTGGAGATGTGCTTAATTCAATTTACTCAAAGTTAACATAAAGATGCAGGACCCAAAAAAGGAAAGCAAAGAGTAACTGCAACTGATCTACTCATCTGTGACCAGGCATTCAACAAGCACTCATCCACCAGTGAAGAAAAGTTTGGGTACATTGCATTGACTCCTTTGGAAGAAGCCAAAGATACACTGCAACCAGCCGCCAAATACCCCAACAGGAGAAATGCATGCTGTAGTGCCAGACCTGAGCAGAACACAAATGTCTTTCTCTGCAGAAGTACTGGTTCCCAGAGGCCTGGGGACCATTAATGGTCTGAATAGAAAACTAATTAGCCTCACAGTGAGAACAAGAGTTCCACCCAAACAAATTAGGAATCTATAAGAGCAGCCTTACTTTCAGTGGGCCCCAGGGAAAGATACTATTTCCAGGTGCTCCTTGGATCTCACAAGAGGCCAGAATAATCAAACATTACATGGCCAGCATTCCAACAGGTTTTTGCTGAGAAGAGAGCCAGGTCTAAGTCCCTGAAGGTACCACTGACACTTAATTACCTTTGATCTAATTTGAAGTCCCCCAATAAAAGACCAGGCTCTAGACCTGTCTTCCTCTTTTCTTCTTTACCACCAAACCATAAAAGACTCTAACTACCCTGGGATGAGGAAGTAACCCATCTGGCTGTGTGGCCCTGCTCAGTCTATCTGGTAGCCAGGGAACTTAGGGAGGAGTCAACACACCCGGATTGCAAAGTAGTTCACACCGTACATCTCCAGGTCCTGAGCTATCTTCAAATACTCCATTTCAGCTTCATCCCTGTAAGGAGAATGGAAGAACGCCGTCACTGGGGCTAAGTGACAAGGGTGGAGGACAGACACTTGCCAAGTCAAGCATTCTGAGTATGCCTTCCTATGGACACATGGCACCTGCAGAAGATGAGAGAGACCAGACACCAGCAAAGCTTTTCCCAATCCAGAGTCCCAGTGAAAAGAAGAAAACAGACGCGTTACACTGTCTCTTGGCTTCAATTTCACACTCTGCCCTTGGTAAATAGTGACATCTGTCTCAAATGATTAAAAAAAAGAATGTGGGGGCTGGGAGTGTAGCTTAGTGGTACAGCACTTGCTCAGCATGTGCAAAGCTCTGGGTTCCATCCCTAGCAATAGCAAAAAGAAAAACCAAAACCACAGCATGTTATTTTCAACCCCAGATGAATTATTTAAGTTGTTGCCTTATCTCTGTACACTTTCTTAACCTAGAGGCTTTAGTAGTGAACAAGCTTTTCTGCACACCATGACAGAATCTACCTTCCTGATTCTGTCTCTTGGGGTACTGTTGAAGGTCAAGGTAGGAACTATCTGAGCCATAAAACACAGGCCAGTGGGTGAATACTTGTCAGTTATAACTCAAACTTAAAGCAAGCTCTGGAAGCAGCAGTGACTTGCAGAAAAACTCCCCAATAGGTAAATGTATTGAAGAAATTTAACTCAAGCTTCCCTATGACCTTGTCCTTGTCCTTCTCTCTCTCTCATCTCAAAATGCTCTCAGATGGATTTTTAAAATTCACCCTGAGAGAATGCCAAGTGTTGGCAAGCAGGTGGGGAACCAGAAACTACACTGCTGATGTAGATTGATTCAATTACTTCGGGAAACTGTTCAACATTACCTATAACAGCAAAACCAAGAAACAACCCAAGAGTCCTTCAACGGCCGAATGGATAAATAATCTGTTATACTAATATACCAGAATTCTGCACAGCCATGAAAATGAGAAAATTATTGCTACATGCCATGTACTCAAATCCCACAAGATGATCTTGAAAAAGAAGGCACTTAATAAAGAAATTGGTTGTATTTATCTAGAGTTTAAAATGGGTGATGGTGGGCTAGAAATGTAGCTCAGTGACAGAATAGTTAGTTGCTTAGCATGTGAGAGGCCTTGTACTTTATCCTCAGCACTGCAAACTAGTACTATAACAATGGCAAGTGAAAACACTAGTCTATGGGAGCACTAATTAGAAATTGGGAAACTGTTTTGGGAGTGATGGTGCAAGCTTTTAATCTCAACACTGAGCAGAGGCAGGCAGATTATACTCATATAGCAAGTTCTAGGAGTTCAAGAGCTACTTTGGGGAGACTTTGACCCAACATAAAAAGAAATTGGAAAACTAGTTATCTTCGGGAAGAAAGGAAGCTGAGAAGTCATGGACTATTTCTTATCTTCTTGTGGTAAATGACCAAGCAGTGTATTTATGATCCATCCACTCTGTGGGTATAAAGAAAAAAGAAAAAAGATACAAGAGCTAGAGAAATGCCTCAGTGGTTAAGAGAATTGACTGCTCTTCCAGAGGACCCAGGTTTAATTCCTAGTATACATATAATACCCCACAACCATCTGTAATTCAGAGTTCTGGTGCCTTCTTCTGGCGTCCTTAAGCACCAGACATGTGCACACAGTACACAGACATACATATAGGGAAAATACAGTGAAAGAGATAGTAGGAAGCTAATTTGAAGGATTGGGGTGGGCAGGGCTAGCCCAAAGATGATCAACATCTAAAGTTACCAAGGGAATACTTACACAAACTATAAATTTTTGCTTTAATTTTAATTTAGTAAAATTATAGATTGATTAAAAACAAATGTTGAAAGAAGCCTAGGATGCTGGGAACATTCTACTAACACTGGTGATGTACATGTGCCAAAAGGCACAAATTTATTTACTTATATTATTATTTTGTTTGTTTTTCAAGTCAGGGTTTCTCTGTGTAATAGCTCTGGCTGTCCTGGAATTCATTCATGTAGACCAGTCTGGTCCTGAACTCAGAGACCTGACTGCCTCTGCCTCTGGAGTGCTGGGTTTAAAGGTGTACACCACCACTGCTCCTCTACAAATTATTTCAGAGAGCAATTTAGTTTCACCTGTCAAAACACAAAATGTTCATGTCTTTTGACCATTAACTCTCCTCCAAGAATCTACCCTCTAGACTTGTGAAACTATGTAACAACATTGTAAAAGTGAAAAGTATTCAGATAGTCTAAATACCATCAATATAGGCCTGAATGCAAAACAAATGGAAAGCCTTCAGGCAGAATATTAAACTAGAATGCCACTGAACATTGGTTTTCAACTCAGAGTCTTACACATTCTAGGCAAACGCTCTACCACTGAGCTACATGCCCAGATTGTCATGTGCCCCTTTCATAGCAACACACTACAATAAGGATGCACATGAAACTGAAGACCATCATTATTCTTAGTTCTTGCTTTTCCTCTTATATACTTCAGGACTGCAGTTTGATCTACAAACATGCCCTAGTTTTATAGTTCTTTTAGGGTGGGGGAGGGGCGTGAAAACATATAAAGAAGGATGAAGCCGCCTCACCTGGCTCTGCCCCGGTGCTCTGCATACCAAGCAGTAATTCTCTCCTCCCACATTTCCGGAGTCATCTGATATAGATTTATCACCTACCAAAAAGACAGCAAAAGAAAATCCACATGCACAACAAGTCTAGGTATTTTTTGCCATTTTTATAATTATGGTTCATTTTTACAAAACAGCAAAGCTATTTTTAAAAAGCTACATGCAGGGAGAGTCACACACAGAGGTGGGTGTGTAAACAAGCACCAGAGGATCATCCGGCAAAGTGCAGCATTCCTCAGTCCTAACTACACTGGAGTATCCACTTTTACTTCCAGGGCTGTTCATCTAGGGACCACTCCGAAAGTAAAGCAGTGCTGACTCACTCTGGCCTTCAACTGCACAGAAGCCATCAAAGGCCAGGTAAAAGCTGGAAGGGTGACAGATAAGTGGGGCTGAAAGATGGGAAGCAGCCAAGGCTGCTTCTGTGTCTAATGAGTAAGATGAACAAGAATGAGGATTAAAAGTCCCGCCTTCACCACATCTTCTCCACCCCAAACAGCTCAATTCTGTACAGTAAACACATGGTCTCATGGCTCCCTTAAGTCAATGCCACTCAACTACCTTCAGAAATTGCCACACCAGAAAAATATCTACAGGTCACACACTTCCTAGCGACATTAACTCTACAAACTCTTGCATTTTGTTATTTTGAAGCAGAATCTCACTCTGTAGCCCAAGCTGGCCTTAGCCTCATGATCCTCTGCCTTTTGAACACTGGGAGTTCAGACAAGAACCACTATGTATAGCAGCGTCTCTGCTTTTCATATACTGGACCAAGAAAACTGAGTACAGTGGTATACACCTGTAATTCCGGTACTCAGGAGACTGAGGCAAGAGGATAGTTGAGTTCAAGGCTGGCCTGAACTACAGAACAAGAACCTGTCTCAAAAAATAATAATAGGAGCTAGATAGAAAGCAAGCTCAGTAGGTAAAAGAGCTTGCTCTGCAAACATGAGGACTTGAGTTTGAATTCCCAGTAATGCCAGGCATGATAAGATATTAGTAATTGATAGCACTTGGGAGAAGGAAAGTCAATTTTCTTCAAATGGACACATACCACAGGGTATGTCAACCACACCCCAGGCAGCACACTCAGGAGTAGTTGGCCAACACAAATTGGAATCCATTAATTTTGGTGGCTTTTTTTTTTCTTTTTGTTTTTGAGACAGAAAGAACTAAATTGGGTAGATAGGGAGGTAGGGGGAATCTGATATGAGATGATGGAAATATATTGCATAAATTTTCAATGAATAAGTTTGGTGGTGATGGCACATGCCTTTAGTCCCAGTACTTGGGAGGCAGAAGCAGGTGGATCTCTGTTGAGTTCGAGGCCAGCCAGAGCTATTACATAGAGAAACCCTGCCTTGAAATAAACATACAAAAAAGCCCTCAAAGAATAAATAAAAACATAAAAAGTCTGGCATGACTGTACATACATGACTGTACATGGATGCCTGTAACCACACACTAAGGGTAGAGGCAGGCAGATCCAGCCTAGCCTAAGTGGAGCTTCCAGCTGAGAGACCCTGACTCATGACATAAGGAAGAGAGACTACAGAAGACACCTGAAGTCCTGCTCTGGCCTCTGCATATGTGAAAGGGCACACATACCTGCACACTCGCAGGCATGCACAGCACACACATACACTAATAAGTACATATGCTTAACCAAGATTCCATACTCTTCTTAAGATTATGCCTGTTTTATACTTGCAACACTGCTTCAAATCATTAAGTGACTTTCCTTCGGTCACATTTGCTGTTTTCCCAAACCGAGAATTTAATTTCTTACCCTTTTTGGAAGCAATTCCTCTTGGGCTAAAAATCCTCGCTTATGCACAGAGGGGTCATAGTCACCATACTAGAAGGAAAAGAAAAGAGATCTGTTGATTGAGTTTCTAAAGACTACTGTCATTTCTGAACAAGGCTCGACTCAGTTGGTCCCTCCTCCCAGTTCCAGGGAGCAATTCAATTCTGATGACAAGATTTCAACCTTGCCAGTTTGTTATCCTTGAATGAAAATACAAAGCTGATTACATCTAAACGCAGAGTTGTAAATCCCATAAGGGATGGATGGGTGATGTGCTAATAAGAATGTGACATTTGTATGGAAATGTAGTCTGTTTCCTAACCCTCAAAGAAAGCAGTCATTTCCAAACATTAGCTTTGGACTGAAACAACAAAACACAACTGTGAAAGTTGTGATTAGCAAAGTGTGATAAGAGCCTTACCTACACATGCCTCTAAGTAGCTGGTAATTGGAGCCAATTGCTAGGTGGGACCAGGGAATAATGTAGGCAGTATTTTTAGTACCTTTTGCTCAAGGCTCTGAAAATTGCTTTTGGAAGATTTGATACCAATACTGTCTGTCATTCTTACTGCACAAAAAATAAAATAAAATAAAAGGTTAACTGATACAGCCAAAGCTGTAGAGCCAGGCACTAGTGAAGCCTGCAATCTAAGTTACTCCTCAGGAGCAACAGCCCAGATATTTACCCTCTTATTTTTAAAAACACTACTCCTGCCAGGAGGTGGTGCCATACCCCTTCAGTCCCAGCACTCAGGAGGCAGAGGCAGGTGGATCTCTGAGTTTGAGGCCAGCCTGGTCTACAGCATGAGTTCCAGGACAGCCAGGGTTGTTACACAGAGAAACCCTGTCTCAAAAAAATCAAAATCAAAATCAGATCAGAGAATCATCCATTATCAAAGAATGGGGCAGGGCTGGCTCTTGGTGGCAGCATAAAGCCCCAGGTTCAACTCCCACCCTGATATAAAAAGAGAATGTAAGCTAAGCATGGTGGTGCACATCTTTAGCCCTAGCCCTCGGGAAGCAGAGGCAGCTGAGTCTGAGGTCAGTTAGGTTACATAGTGAGACCTTGTCTCAAAGTAAAATAAAAATAAATAGGCAAGAGAGACAGCAAACAGTAGACTATACGCAGAAAACCTCTACCTCAGCTGTCAGCAGGCAATGGTTTCTCTCTTTTACATTTACTTATTTGGGGGTTGGTAAATGCCACAGTGCTTATGTGGGGTCAGTCCTTTCCTTCCACACGTGGGTTCCAGGGATCCAGCTCAGGTTGTAAGGCTTGGCAGCAAGTGCCTTTGCCCACTGAGCCATCTCAGCAGCCCAGTGGTTTATCTCTCTTTCCTTTAATTAAAAGTTTATTTCAATTTATGTGTGTGAGTGTTTCATCTGCATGCAGTATGTCTATGTCCCATGTGTGTGCCTGCAGAACTTGAAGGCCAGAAGACATCAGATCCCTGGGAACTAGAGTGACAGGGAAGCCAGTTCCCTGTTCTGGCCTCTGTGGGCACCAGGCATGCACACAATGCACACAAATATACAAGGTAAAATGTTCACACACATAAAATAAGAACAAATAATGTTTTAAGAATTTAAAAGGGGAAAAAAGAGGACCCCAAAGAGACCTCTAGAGGGCTGCTGTGGAGGTCTTTGAATAAGGCACCCTCTCTTAAGCCACAGTGTCCACACCTGTAAAGCAAGGAACAAACTAAAAAAATCAAGGCAAGCATTTTGGGGTGGTGCTGGACCCTGGTCAAAGTCAGGCATGAGCATTAAGGCATTCTTTGCATTACTGAAGACTTCATAGGATATGACTGAAAGCCATGGTAGTTGCATTTGCAAGCCTTTCAATAATTGCCAACCAAATTTTAATGCAAAAGTAAGCAGATATGCTAAGCTAAAGTTGTAAATTCAGGTCTCAAAAGCTTGCAAGATTAATGACCCCCGTTATTAAATTATACCAAGCTCCCAGGTACACTGATCAAATATATTACATCTGAGCAGTGCAGAGGTGGTGAAGATTCTGCTGCAAGAGCCTCTTCACTGAACTAACTCCATTCGGAACATTAATGCTACCTTGATGTCTATTTAAATGTCTATTTAAAAAAACAAAAGGGAAAAATGCCAGTGTTGTGGCAGTAACTATAGAAGAAAACCATACCACATGATAGATAGAAACGACCACTCCTCATCTTTTTATGTAACAGAAGCATTCTGATAAGCTCTGGGTGGATTTACTGTGAAAGCAAGAGAGCCGGAGTCCCAAAACTCTGCAGCTCTGTGAGCTTGTACTTCACTTTATTCATCATTGGGTATTCCTCTACTAAAGAAAACCCCTAAATTGTTCAAATTTCAGAGCCCACAAAACCTGATCTTATACACCGGGCAGTAGTGATGCACACTTTTAATTCCAGCACTCAGGAGACAGAGGCAGGCGGATCTCTGTGAGTTGGGAGGCCAACCTGATCTGTAGAACGAGTTCCAGGACAGGCTCCAAAGCTACAGAGAAACCCTGTCTCGAAAAAAGCAAAACAAATAAAAAAATCAATCAAACAAAAAACCTGACCTTATACTGCCTCTTATAAACTTCTTGAATTTAAATTCAAGAAGACTGGGGATGTAGATCAGTGATGTAGCTTAGCATGCAACAGACCCATGTTCTTTTTTTTTTTTTTTTTTTAGTTAAAACAAACCAAGCAAATATCATTACCACTTTGAGGAACTAACAACTAAGACAAATTCTTGGGGGTGGTGGGGTAGGCTGGAGACATGGCTCAGCAGTTAAGAACACTTGCTGTTCTTGTAGGGAATCTGGGTTTGATTCCAAGTACCTTCATGGCAGATCACAACTGTCTGTAACTTCAGTTCAAGATATCTGATGCCCTCTTTTGGTCTCTTTGGACATTGCACACACATGATGCACAGACATACATGCAGGTAAAACACCCATACACATAAAAATAATTTTAAAAACTTTTCTTGGGCTTGCAATATAGCTCAGCTGTTAAAGTTATTTGTTGCCATGTCTAATATCCTGAATTCTATCCCAGGAACCCATGATGGAAGGAGAGAACCAACACATGGAAGTTGTCCTCTGACCTCCACATCCATGTCTAGGTAAAAGAGTTGCATCCCATCCCATCCCCACCTCTGTCAAACAAAATAAATAAATGTAATTTTTAAATATAAAACAAACAAAAAACAAAAATCATCATTCATCTGTTGAGATGCCTCAGGTGGTAAATGTACCTACTGTTAAGTCAAGTCTGACAACATGAGTTCAATCCCCAGGACTTACACAGTGCAAGGGAGAGAACTGACTCTTGTAAGTAGTCCTCTGATCTCTACATGCGTGCTATGGCAGGCACACACAATAAATAAATACGTCATTAATTTTTTTCAAGTATTTTTAGGGTTTCTCTGTGTGGCTTTGGAGTCTGTCCTGGAACTCCCTCTGTAGACCAAGCTGGCCTCAGATTCAGAGATCCACCTGCTTCTGCCTCCTGAGTGCTGGGATTAAAAGTGTGCACCACCAATGCCCAGCATAATTAATTTTTTTAAAAGATCAACTTGTGACAGGCAGTGGTAGCACACACCTTTAATCCTAGGACTCAGGAGGCAGAGACAGGCAGATCATTTGAGTTAAGGCCAGCCTGGTTTACAGAGCAAGTTGTAGGACAGTCAGAGCTACACAAAGAAACCCTGTCTCAAAAAACAAACAAACAAACAAACAAACAAAAAACTGCTCTTTGCTGCTTTGGAGCTGGGAGTAGAGCTCAGTGGTAGAGTACTTATGACCCAAGTCTCATTTCCAGTATTATAAAATCAAAAGCTCACCATTTATTTACACAACTCTGTAAGTCTTTTTTTCCTATTTTTAGGAAGCTAGGTGTTTGGGTATCTCCTATGTTGCCCAGGCTAGCCTCAAACTTCTGGGCTTGAGCAATTCTCCTGCCTCAGACTACCCAGGAGCTTGGCCTAGCTACTTGAAATGCCTAAGCTAAAAGGAGTCTCCTTCTGGTATTAATTTCTTGTCTGTATATGCAATGGAAAAATCAGACCAAATGTTGTAAATGGGTTCTAATAAAACAAAGTTTGTCATCTTTCTTTCTTTCTTTTCTCAAGACAGGGTTTCTCTGTGTAGCCCTAGCTGTCCTGGAACTCACTTGGTAGACCAGGCTGGCCTCAAACTAATCGCAATCCTCCTGCTTCTGCCTCCCAAGTGCTGGGATTAAAGGCATGCACCACCATGCCTGGTGTATGTGTGTGTCTGTGTGTGTGTGTGTGTATCTATATATCTATATCTATAACTATATCTATATCTCTATATATACAGATATATATAATTCTTTTCTTTCTTTGTACTCATCTGTGTAAAATAGATTTCTACTAGTCACTAAAATTCCATATGAATCAAGGATTTAAACCTATAAACGAAAATCCATAAAAGTACCAGACAAGAGAGGATGGGCACAGTAGTGGTTGGTGAAATCATTCTCAAGCCTGATACAGAACAGCAGACAAAGGTTGCTATCATTATAGATGAACCCCTATAAATCAATCAGAAAAAGACAAGAACACAGTAGAAAAGGGGCAAATCATAAACAGCCACTGCAGAATAAGAAGGAACGAATGGCCAGTTAATTCCAGAGATGCTTAGTCCCATGGCAAATTAATGCATTTAAAAAACAAACAAAACCTATTTTTGAAGCAGGTCAGCAAAACTTCAGAAGACTCTTTCCATTGTTGGGAAGGGCATGCATTTATGTAGTATTTGAGGAAATTTTTACCTACATGAAATTTATGGGTGGTCAGATTGTGTAGTTCTAACTGGCCTGGAATTCACTAGGTAGACCACGTGGGCAGGTTTTGTGCTCACAGAGATCAGCCTGCCTTGGCCTCCTGACTGCTGGGATTAAAAGTATGTGTCAGGACTGGACTGTTCTGGTTTTGAGACAGGGTCTCAGGTAGCAAGGCACAATGGCTTTGAACTCAAGCTTCCTACATAACAGAGGATGGTTTGAACTCCAGTTCTGGGAGTTGGACTGTCTCTAGGATTACACACATGTACCACCACTGTCCATTTATGAGTTGCTAGGGACAGAACCCAGGGCTTGTTGCATGCTAGGCAAATACATATCCAACCACTGCCTGAGGTGGGAACCTCAATCTCTGACTAGAACAATCACTAGAACTTTTTAATACATCTCCTTCTATGTTTCTGGACTTCTCTCACTCTGTAGCCTAGACTGGCCTGGAATTTGCTATGTAGCCCAGGCTGGCCTTAAACTCAGAGACCCATATACCTCCCTAGTGCTGGAATTAAAGGCTTACTGCATCACACTGGGCACTGATCTATCTGTTCTTTATATAGCCACAAAGGTTCTGTGCAAAACAAACTCTTCACTGACTTAGCAGCACCACAGGCTAGTGGTAAGACCTCTCAGGGTCTGCTCCCTAAAGAGCTTTCACCTTCAACTCTTGCCACAATACTTGTTTTTATATGTACTCAATTTCCTTTTCTTTTCTTTTCTTTTTTTTACAAGACAGGGTTTCTCTGTATTGTTTTGGAGGCTGTCGGTCCAGCCTAGTCTCGAACTCACAGAGATCTGCCTGCCTCTGCCTGCCTCTGCCTCCCGGGTGCTGGGATTAAAGGCGTGCGCCACCACCGCCCGGCTGTACTCAATTTCTTACTGAACTGTGTTTGGCCACCGTCCTTGTCACTAAGCTTCTTCCACTATATTTTGTTTTGTTTGTTTTGTTTTTGGGACAAGGTCTCGGTAATAATCCTGGCTGTCCTGGAACTGGGCAAGTGGACCAGGTTGGCCTTAACACTTCAGAGAGATCCTCCTGCTTCTGTTTCCCAAGTGCTGGGATTAAAGGTGTACACCACAAAGCCTAGGCAAAGTCATTTATTTTTAATTTGTATGTATCGTGTGAGCCTTTGTGAGTATGTGTATCACATGTGTGCAGGAGCCCTCAGACACCAGAAGAGGGCACTGAATCTCCCAGAACTGGCAGTTGTAAGCTGCCATGTAGGTTCTGAGAAGCAAACCAGGTCTGATTCAAGAACACTAAGCACTCTTAACTGTTGAGTCATCTCTCCGTCTCCATCTTCCACTACTCCTTCCTTTCTTCTGAAAGAGCCTACATGGATAATATCCTATTCTCTCCTAGTAATTTTCAGGACAAACATATTTCAGAAAGACATACATATTTGAAACAAAGCAAATTGTCCATATAAAATCCAACAGGTGTCTTAAAAACTACAAGATGGTTTCGATTGTCATGTGACTTATCTGTTCTTTTGATTATAGCATAACTCAAACAAGAACCAAGAAATATGGTTCTTGTTGACTGAACCATGTGATTAATATTTGTATTTACACTTTGAAGTTAATTGTTTCTTTATGCTTTGGAATTAACTGTGTCTATATCGGTCCAACAGCTGAAATACTGTAATGAATACATTTGCACTCAATTATGTTCCAGGTGTCAATGAGCTTGATTCCACTTCCCCTCCATACTTCTCGAGTTTCTTTCTATTTCAGAAAGGCTAGGAAGAAAACTGTACATAATGGAAGGAGTCAGTATGGCTTACTGAAAAGTTCAGGTTGTTTTTATTTATTTTATTTGTTTGTTTATTGCTTATGCTTATTTTGTTTTACTTTGCCTTCATGTATGTCTGTGTGAAGGTGTAAAATCCCCTGGAGCTGGAGTTACAGACAGTGGTGAGCTGTGTGTGGGTGTGAGTGTTGGGAACTGAACCTGGGTCCTCTGGAAGAGCAGCCAGTGCTCTTAACCACTGAGCCATCTCTCCAGCCCTGAGGTTGTTTCACCTTGTAAATGAAACTAGAATTTAGTGAAAGTTAATGCCTGACCACCACACACCTCACTAAACAGAAACAAGGTGCTTGGTCAGGCAGCCCAGACACCTGGGTTTCCAGCCTGGCTCTACCCTTCATCCCACTGTTTCAATCTTCATGAAAAGGCAGGTAACTAACTGTACAGTAGGGCACTTGCCTCACATGTGTAAAGCTTTGGGATCTGTCCCTTGTAACATGAAAACAAACAAGTGGTTTGTGCATTTCATAAGTACAGAAATAACATGAAAGTATTGTGACTTTGAATAAACCATTACTCTTTTCTTCCCCGCTCCCATAGGGCTATCCTGTAACTCACTCTATAGACCAGGCCGACCTCGAACTCACAGAGATTCTCCCAAGTGGTGGAATTGAAGACGCTGCACCCTCCACCCAACTCATTCATGCCCTTTAATTGTGTCATCAGGAAAATAAGCACAAGCTTTGCCTCTAAAAACTGCTACATGGAGTATCTTGTGGAATAGTCTGTTGAACCCTGTGCTAAAACATTGTGGATATGGCTCATCCAGCTCCTCCTAAACACCCTCTCACTATTAACCAGCAGCCCAAGAAACTGGCAGCACTGCTACAGTAAACCCTCGTTTCCTGAAGGCAAACAGGGTCTCACTTCAGAGCCCTTGCTGGTCTGGAACTCATAAGGATCTGACTGCCCTGCCTCGTATTAAAGGCGTGCACTACCACACCCACCCAGCCTGAATACAGACTTTTTGTTTTGTTTTGTTTTGTTTTGTTTTTTTGAGACAGGGTTTCTCAGTGTAGCTTTGGAGGTTATCCTGGTCTATAGACCAGCTGGCCTCGAACTCAAGAGATTCACCTGCCTCTGCCTCCTGAGTGCTGGGATTAAAGTGTGTGCCACCACTGCCCAGCCTGAATACAAACTTTAAAAGCTAGAGATTACCTTTATTTGTAAGATTCCTAAATTTAACACCGGAAAAAATAGTTAAGAGCACCCACCTCCATATGAGCCACATATGTTGTCTGTGAATCACTTTCATCTCCAAACTGGCAGAAGCCAAATAAGTAGGGCTTTCCTGCAGTGAAATCTGTTCAAGCAAACATCTGCTGGTTCCTTGAAAAATGATCCCCACCCCTGGGCCCCACACAGGTGGCCTTTGAATTTGTGACCCAAAACCCACAGCCTCTGAGAGAGGTAGTATCCATGAGACCCTGGGTCTCAAGTAGGAGAAAGCATGCAAGAAGGAACTCAACTCTGGGCCAAGAAGCACGTGGAGTTAATGAAAGTAGTGATGACTGCTTTGAAACTGTTAAACTGAAAGGATACATTTTTCCTGTTACTAATACTCTTGATCAAAGCATAAAAGGAGCATATGCTTCACTTGAACCACAGCCCATTTTCTGTTTTCTCAATTACTCCTTTTTCAAGGAAGGCATAAAACACAACTCTAAAGCCATGGACTCTATCTCTAGCTTTACCCATGCAGGCACCAATGACCTTGGAGAATAACTAAGGGCAGAATTGCTCTAGTGTCTGCATCTGACAGTTAACAAGCCTTATGTCCCATGCCTTGTGACTACTCAGCAGACACTGATGAGTCATCAAATGATTAAACTAACTCTGTACTTCTACTGGCCTGACCAGCATCCACACTTCGAAGCCCTTTTCCCAACCCAAATGACAAACAAGTTATTCCTGGCTTTGATCTGAAGTTGTATTAAACATTCTAGTTGGCCTTATGGAACAAGGGCTCAATACTCTATGACGCTCTTCTACCACCACTCCTGGTCTGCTGTCTGAAAGAGAGGGAATGACTTTAGGCTAATGAGACAGCATCACTGGGCCCAGCAGGCTCAGCAGACCCAGCTCCCAGCCACATGCACAAAATATGCCACCAGAGCCTCACTAGAAATGTGGTTCCTAAGAATGCAGTCTCTGGAAAGATGAGTTTGGATGGAGAATCTGGGTCTTGCTGACCTCAAGGCTTATCTGATCATAATTAGACACCACAAAGTCGCTTTTCCTAATAAAACAAGGCTGATGTGATTAATGTAATGAACACATGTGCATAATGGGATGACACAGAAAACTCATCTTTTTGGAAGGATTCACTTAGAAAGAATTGGAAGTCATTAGAATGATGTGCTTGTCACCTGTATACACAACACACATATACAAAATACACATAAGTTGAGGCAGCAACAGTAAATGCCCAGGTATCATGACATCTCATTTTTGGAGGTAAGTTGTTCTGAAGTCTCCAAAATCCAAGAAATGGAAAACTGGATCCATGCTGTGTGACAAGTTAATGTTGAAGAAAAATGCATTTTTCTTTCCTTGCACCCACCTTGGCTTGGACAGCATAGGAAGCCAAGAGCACTGAAGCCTCAGGAGGGCAGTAGACTTTTTCATCCAAAATCTGCTTCTTCACCTGAAAGGGGCATTGAAAAAGATGAGATGGCACAAGAGGAAGACAGCAGTGCCGCCTGGTCACAGCAGATGGCTGCAGGGTATTCTACATGACGGCTGCCAAAGCAGCCTGGTAATGGTTTTCTGACAAAGGGTACTTTTTTTTTTTTTTTTAAACTGTTGCAGGCCAGTTGAGAGTTCAGCCATGAAGGGGTTATCAGTAAGCTACCTGCACAAAAGCCCTCATCTCTCCTCCTCAGAGTCAAGGCTAACGAGTAAATAAGATCTACTTGATCACAGCAGAGACTGACGAATGTGTGGCTAAGGCTGCACTGGGTCTCAGTCACGGCCCCTATGGAACACTCACGGTACTAGAGGAGATGGAGTCTACTTTCAAATCTTAACAGACAAAAGTCACCAAGGCCACTGAATTATGACTATAGAAAAAAGTTATCACTTCCAATGTGCTGCTCTAAGGAAAAAGGAAGCAATAAAATTTGATCGATTCAACTTTTAAGTACACATGAGGTTCAGGAAATATAATTCCTACGCCATAATGTTGAATTACCATATCTCATCGCACCTAATTCTGTACAGTGGTGCAGCGTATGATGTCGCAGACACAAGGACAAGAGAGTTACATGAAGTGGGAGTGCATTAAGCAAAGCCAACTCTTTTCACAGATTCCTATTAGTAGATGTTGCCTTGCTTACTCACAAAAACAATCTAACATTTCAGTATGAAGGAAAACCAAGCAAAAGTCACAGGGGAACAGGTGCTGCCTCAAGTCCTCACAGGAAGCCATTTCTCTAACACTGAGGGATTCTGGTCTCCTCTAACTGAAGATGACCCTGAACGTTTGATCCCCCTGTGGATCACAAAAGTATACTGTGCTATTCACACAAGGCAAGCATTTTATAGACAGCTACATCCCCAATCACCAAAGAATCTTTATGTGACTTCATTTACACATACATTCCCCGCACCCCCCACACCCTGTTTTAAAACTAAGAGAAAACGAAAGCTGAGATGTTCTGAAGCAGTGAAACCTTCAAACCTCCTAGTTTCTTTACAAAGAGATAAAAGAAGCCATAATACACAAAATCTGAAAGGGGCGGCCTTTTGACCTAAAACACATGCACATGCATGCAGGCATGCATACATGAAACTCCTTTGTAAAAGAAACTATTTAGCTAGGCATGGGGACACACATCTCAGCACTCCAAAGGCTAAGATAAAAGGATCTCAAGTTCAAGTCTAGCTTTAGCTATGGAGTGAGATCCTCTTAACGGCACAATGCAACACAGCATTATATGGAGAGTAATATCACAGTTCACATACTATATCATGTACACATTATATAGAGGCTCCATATTGTAAGGATTGTATGAAAAATCATAGATGTACTTCTGGGAAATCAATGTAGTTAGTTAGTGTCCTGCTGCAATCTTTTACATCATGGACAACAGGGCAGCTTAGGGGCACATCAGCAGTTTTAGCATCAATCACTACAGATAGTCATGAAACTGAGGAGGCTTCCTGACCATGACAAAACAGGCTTCCATCCTTAAATGGAGCACCTACCTCCCTGTGCTCCCAGATGGTCAACCTGCAATTCTGGAACACCTAATTTCTTCAGTTTGGTTGAAGAATTACTGAAGAATACCAACTGCATATTCAGTGAGCCCATCTTTAAGGGGCTTGCACACCAATGAAGGAGGAAAGGACAATATACAGTAAGAGGAGCACAGAGCAGGCTGTCTGAAACACCTTAGGCATGGGACAGACCAAGAGTCACTGCCATTCAGAAGAGCTGCCTTGAACTTTAAAGGAAATTTTTGCTAACCCTCTGAAGCTTTTCTGTATAATCGCAGAGAACTTTCAAGTTAGCCAGGAGAAACTCCTCTTGCGTGTTCTTCATCGCACCTCTGCAATTTCACCTGACACCAATTCTCATCACTTGGGTAAAGCTCTATTCTGAAGACATTTTTTTCCCATTATTGAACCAAAAGTACTGACTATTTGGAGGCAGAACATTTTCTGCAGTATAGAAGTATTTGTGGTCAACTCCAAGGGGTTCACCTGGGCTGCTTCTACAATCATACCCAAATCAGTCCTCTTAGAACTGGGGGAGAAGGCATGGGCAGGCATACCTGTAAGAAAAATAAGTGTTGCGTGATCTCTTGAACTAATTCCTCCTCAGCATTTTCAGGATAAAATTTGGCCAGGAAGTGAAAGGTAACTGGTTCTTCCTTTGAAACATCATGATCCAACACCTGCAGAATTTCAGAGCAAAAGACATGCTGTGCTGGCTTCTCTTTCTCATGTACCATCAGAGCATACTTGCAGGGAAGGTATAAAATCCCTTCCCGCTACATTCATCCCATTTCCCAAAGGCTGTGTTTCTACAGTTGGAAGCATTCACAGAGTCATCCATCGCAGGAGATAACATCCACTCCACACAGGGGATTCTGAACCAAACCAATCAATAAACCAAGGGGTGAACAGAGCTACAGTGGCAGCGCCAGTGTTCTCAAAGCCAAGGAAAATAGTTACAAACTAGAATGCATAACCCAAAGGTCTTGGGCATTATCCTTTATGGAAGACTGAGGATTTTACAAAGTTTTTTTCCTGAAATAGTAACATCTTCTTTTATTCTTTGCTACTGCCCACTCAAATAGGTTCTGTTGGAATATAACTTAGACACAATAAACTAGATTTTTGTGATATTATGTTATGAATACTAGAAGTGAAACATGGCCATCATGGTAATGCTTTGTTCCTGGAATCTTTCAGAGATGGCCACGAAATGCTTGCAGTGCAGTAAGAAAACCACTGTCTTTAATCTTCTAACAATCCCACCCACCCCCTGAAAAGCTTGGACCATCTGCTCTCCAGAGTGAATTTCATTTCAGGACATAAACATGCTACCAGGCTCCATTAACATGTGTCATAATTTATTTCCTTTGAGCAGCAGGTTCTAGGACTCCTGATGCCCCCAATCTAATATCCATTTGGCTACCATTCAGGTATGATTTAAAATTCACTTTGCTGAGAGTCATAAAAAGACACAGAAAGCTTTGCTGTCTCTGATATATAATTCTCCACATGCCTGCCCAAATTCCAGGGGCAGTCCCCAAGGGACTTGAAATAAGTCTAATCTAGTTGTGCTCTTCACTGTATCTTTGTGGCATTTGGGGCTTCTAATCATTGGGATGACTGTTGGAACCGATAACCAGCAGGGGAGTTGTAAGCATGAAGGAGATGACCATATACATGTTGTGAACCTAACATGAACACCTCACTGAACACTTGTTAGTTACCACTTTATGTGGTAGATAACTTCAGGGCAACCATTTAGGGTCAGAATTAGACATGGAGTTACTTCGGGAATCCAGGGTCTTTTGGCCCTGATCTTCAGCTGTCTTTACTGTTAGGTAGCCAGGAAAATAGGTAGACATGTCTTTGTGTGAATATGAACCCACAAATGGGCAGCTTCCCTAAGCCATAGCCACTTCCAAGCCACCTTCAAATTTCTAGAAACCTAGATTTCATGTGCTTAAGAAATCACAGAGAATCCTGAGGAGGAAACCAGATTGCGCCTTCATCTCCAGACTCCTTATTCCTTTAGTTTCACTAGTGATTAAGTCTGTTGGCTCTTGGTGTTCTCAATGACTTATTAAAAAAATAAATGAACATGAGCCCTAGGAGAATCTCTCAAAGACATAAATTGTTGGCTTTTTTTAAAGTATACAAAGATAGTAATGTTATCCATAAAGCCTGACTAGTGGTTCAATAAACTGAGGGCATAATGCCAGAAAGCAAACAAGGTAGTGACAATGGGTAGAAAAGCTAGCCAAGGGTTAGCCCTGGTGAATCCTGCTTGTCTGGAGAGTCTACGCAGAGCAGAAATGTCTGTAGGACTTGCTTCCTACATACATGACTTAATATAAACAACTGACCCCTTCTTTACCACGTCCTTGTGATACCCAACAAAAAACAAATGAGCTAAGTGCATGCTCGGGGGAGAGAAACACAACAACAAAACAGAAGGCACAAGCCTCCCCCTCTGCTTTCATGGAGATCTGATCCAACCTTCTTGTCCATTTTGAGCCAGGCCACAGTGTCCTTGATTGTGTACTGCAGTCCAAAGAACCAGGTTTCCCGAAGCCCCAGCGTCCGGCACACCAAATCAAACAGGTCCTTCCCTTTCCATTTCATCTGCAATATAACAAACAAACAGGGAAGGACGTTGTGAGCAAAATCATAATCAGCTCACACAGAACTGTTCTCAGCACTCTCTACTGTCACCAAAATGGCTGATGAGCACTGAACTCCTAAATAATTTTAAAGCTTCCCACACAAAACCATAAGTGGGAAAATACCAATTAGAGTTTAATGGCTCAATTGCTGTGGAGCACACACAATACCTCCTTGGACAGTTCCGTACAGATCTCAATATCCCTGAAGCTGCTATTTTAGGAAACCTGGTAAATAAGCAGCCTCATTTAGGAGAGTCAAGCCTCCTAAATTAGCCCAGGAAGATGGCTAGTTTGTGAGACACTAACTCCCTTGAGATTTTCTTTTTGATGGTTTTGTTTTTTAAATCATGACTCTGCCTTTGATAAAAGTTCACTTTTTAACTTAAAGACTAGTTTTACTGGGAAAAAAAACATATGGAAGTTATAACTAAAGCTACAAAAATTGTAGAGCAGAACAATGAGAAATCAGATAGACCAGTTGCAGGTCTCTATCAAGATGCCTGGTTGGGCCCAAGCACATGCAACTTGTCCACAGGCACAAAAGGCAATTCCAAATGCTCATAGTAGCCTCACTTTCAAAAGCACCCAAATCACTGCTAAACCCTTTTCTCTGCTATTCAGTGGTGTAGCTGGAAAAACCAACCTCAAACATCTTCACAGGGAACAAGGATACAGGGCACTGAGTAAATGTTGCCACCTAGTGGTTTTCAGTCAGCTAGGCTTTTCCTGTATCACCTCTTAGTTATGCTACCCCATATATCAAATAAACACTTGAGTACAGTTATGATCCTATGAAACATACGCACAAGCAGTCCTGAGATGTGAATGTGAGGGAATGATAAGACCACCTGATTGTAGAAGTAGCTGCTCTTCCCTCACCCTCATTAAGAAAACTCCACCCTCCAGGAGACACCTCAATAAAGTGCTCACTTAAGCCTGAGAACCTGAGTTTGAACATTCATGTAAAAAGTTGGTTGTAGCCAGGCGGTGGTGGCGCATGCCTTTAATTCCAACACTCAGGAAGCAGATCTCTGTGAATTTGAGGCTAACCTGGTCTACAGAATAAGTTTCAGGACGGCCAGGGCTACATGATGAAACCCTCTTGAAACACCTCCCCCATGCCCAAATTAACTTTGGTTATGGAGCCATGCTTCTAATTCCAGCACTGGAGGGGGTGGGGTGGTGCCAACCAGCCTAACCCAAAAAAGGAACCCAGGTCCCAGTGAGCATCTAGCTTTGTTAAAAAAAGAAAAGGGACTGGAGATATACCTCAGCAGTTAGGAGCACAGGCTGCTCTTCCAGAGGACCTGGGTTCAATTCCCAACAACCACGTGGTGGCTCACAACCATCTGTAATAAGATCTGGTGCCCTATTCTGGTGTACATGCAGACAGAGCCCTCATATAAATAAAATAAGCAAATCTTAAAAAAGGAAGGAAGGAAGGGAGGGAGGGAGGGAGGGAGGGAGGGAGGGAGGGAAGGAGGGAGGGAGGGAGGAAGGAAGAGAGGAATCGATGGTGGCCCTTAATCCCAACATTACATAAGCAGAGGCAGGAAGATCTCTGAGTCCAAGGCCCACCTGCTCTATAGACCTGGTTCCAGGACAGTCAGAGCTACACAGAGAAACCCTGTCTCAACCCTTCACTCACATGTCATGGCATTCACTTCTCTCTCTCTCTCTCTCTCTAAATAAATAAATAAATAAGTAAGTAAAATTAAAAACATGAACAAGGTGAATGGCTCCTGAGGAACCAGAGGTTGACCTCAATGTTTGCGTAGTGTGTGTGGTGTGTGCCATGAATGTGTGGAGCTCAGAGGACAACTTGGTGGAGTTGGTTCCCTCCTTAGACCTTTATATGGCTCTGGGGATCAAACTCTTATACACAGGCTTGTACAGTAAGTGCCTTTGCCCACTAGCCATCTTGCCCACCGTTTACCATTTCCCCCACCCAAGTGCTAAGGATAAAACTCAGGGTCTTGCACTTTTTTTTTTGAGGATCTATATATATATATATATATATTGGTTTTATGAGACAGGGGTTTCTCTGTATTGTTTTGGAGGCTGTCAGTCCAGCCCGGCCTCGAACTCAGAGATCTGCCTGCCTCTGCCTCCCTAGTGCTGGGATTAAAGGCGTGTGCCACCACCGCCCGGCTGAGGATCTGTATATTTTAATGTTTTTTTTTATATTTTACTTTTAAATTTAAATTAGAAACAAGGTTGCTTCACATGTCAATTCCAGGTCCCTCTCCCTTTCCCTCCTCTCCTCCTGTGCCCTCCCACCAACCCCCCAATATCCCCTCATTTCCTCAGGGAGGGTGAGGCCTTCCATGGGGGTGTCCATAGTCTGTCATTTCATCCAGGGCAGGGCCTAGCCCCTCCCCCAAGAGTCCAGGGTGAGAGCGCATCTCTCATTGTTGGATGGGAGCCCAAAGTCCATTTGTATACCTGTAATAAATACTGATCTATTACCCAAGGCTCAATAGATTACCTAGGCCTCCTCACTGACACACACATTCAGGGGGTCTTGATCAGTCCCATGCTGGATTCCCAGGCATCAGCCTGGGATTCAAGAGCTAACCCTTGTCAGGCCAGCTGTTTCTGGGGCTTAAACCAGCCCAGTCCTAATCCCTTTGGTCATCAGTCGGTCTTGCACTTCTTAAGCAAGTATTCTACTACTGAACCATACTCCCAGCTTTAATAGATGTGAATGAATAGTCCTCTTCAGGTATTCAACAGGATAAGCCATCTCTCTGTGTTTATAGCTAGAATCAGCAACCCAAATGGTAGGACACCATGATCACAGCACACAAACAGCATATTGGCTTTGGTCCTTTGCCAAGTAAGGTATTTCTCCTATCTGTCCTGCAACCTTGGCTCCACACCCCAACTGCAGTCAGGTCCCTGGAATACTGACTGCAAAGATGGAAATCTTTAGAGATTTCTGAGTCGGAAAACTGAGTTTTATTTTTAAAATATAATTGCTTTCCCTCTTCTACAAGGTTGGATAATAGTTACACAATTGACAACTGGACAGAGGGCTGTTTAATTCTTTGAAGGCCTTAATTCCTACAGGCAGAGCTAACTGAAGAAATTTTATTTTGGAGAACTGGGAGCTTCAAGATGCTGATTATCCTCTTGTCTCTATTTTAAGCAGCACACAGTATATAAATTATAAATGCCTACCTTCCACAAGATAATGTGCCACTAAAGAACAGGATTAACTTGGAGAAGTTAAACACCCAAGGAACAAGAGGATAAGAACATCACTCCCAGTCCACCATAGCTCACAGCCAGGCCAGGCCAGGCACAAAGGGCAGGGAGAAGCAGGATGAATAGATCCCGAGGAGATCTTCCAAGGGGACAATGAGTGAGCTTCCCAACTGGGGAGCTGAAAACCTCTACCTACCTAATACTGTGTTACCACAGCTTTCCTGTTTCCCCTCACTTTATTTTTAAACTGCAGGCCTGTTTTTTGTTAAAGGCAAAAAGACAATGTCATTGCCCCCATGGAGCTTGCAATAAAGTGAAGAGACAATTCTCAGAACAACCCAGAATCACAGACTATGGGGCTGAAAAGCAGCCTCAGGAGTCACCCACTGTGAGCCTGTGTTCTTTTTGTAAAGCTGAGTAAACTAAGTCACCAATGACTTGGCAGTCTACCAAAATAAACAATTCACGGTGACCCAAGGTAGGCAAACCCCTAGTCTCACAAACCCTTTTCCAGTTCTGTGATCATCAAATCTTTTTGCTCCTACCTTGGCCAGTAAATGACCAATATTAAACAGAACCCTTCTGAGAGTCACACACAGCTCATTCACAGCTCTGTGTGAACAGAGTCCATTTCCAGCAAGTACTATGGCACATGCATGCCCGAGTCTCACACACTGAGGCTATACAGTCCAACCTCAGGAATGGGGATGGGGCAGGTGGCTCAGGCCCTGAGGACTCATCTGCTTCATGCCTGCACTCAATTAAGGGTGAAGAGTAAGTCTCAGGGAAGGGTTACAGGACAGACAAGAGCACAGAGGGAAAGAGGCTGAGAAGCAGAAGGAGGCAGTTCTAGAACCAGCACTTGAACAGGCTAGAGAGATAAAAACTCAAGTACATCTACCTGCATTTCCAGCTTGAGTACCTAGTATCCTACTAAAAAAAGGAATAAAAAATAAACAGCAAGTTTGGGGGGGGGAACAGACGAGCAATGAAGTTTTAGACAAGATTAATTAAACTAAAGAAAGCAAGTGGCCTGGTGATTTGTGCCTTTAATTACAGCACTCAGGAAGCAGAGGCAGAGGCAGGCAGATCTCTGAGTTCAAGACCAGCTTGGTCTAGCTAGCAAGTTCTAGGTCAACCAAGTCTACCCTGTCCCCCCCCCTGAAAAAAAAGGAAGGAAGCAAAGCAGAGATGTCCTAAATATATTAATATATTTAAGCTTCAGCCCTCTAAGCTGGGGAGCTGGATCAGCTGCACATGCCACAAAGCCTAACGACTTTAGTTCATTCTCGGGAACCCGCGTGGTAGGAGAGAGCTGATCCCCACAACAGGTCATCCTCTGATCTTCATATATGTGCCCCCACACAGATACAAAGTAAATACATTTAAATATTTTTTTAAAACTTAAAGACCTTCATTTATAAAATAAAACATTCTGGGCTCAGCTGACCTTCCCCTCACCTTAGGAGTCCAAGATAACACTGTGTAATAGAGTGGAACCTCATACCAAAACAAAAGAAAATGTTTTGGCTCTGTCTTTAAGCAAGTAGTAAGTTTTTTGGCCACACATGCTGGCTTGCACAAGAATCCTAGCACTTGTGAGGTTGAGGCTAGAGACCAACTTTGGCTATATAGAGAGATTCAAAAAACAAACAAGCGGGCTGGAGAAATGGCTCAGTAGTTAAGAGCACTGACTGCTCTTCCACAGGTCCTCAGTTCAATTCCCAGCAACCACATGGCTCACAGCCA